AAGTTTAATATATATATATATATATATATATTAAACTTAACTTACAAACTCAAAATTAGCAGTAGCAAGAAAATTAAATTTATTATATGAGTGTTTGTTGTAGAAAATGAAGTCATGATATCTGAGATAATTAAAAATGCGAATAAATGCTGATCTCATTCTACGTTGTTCTTCGAGACATCTTCTTCCCGAACAAAGCAGTGAAGATATACTGGATCGAATTACTCATCTCTTCTTACAGGAACAATTTATCCGGAAAATTGTAAGTTCAACTTTAATTTATAATAGTCTATGTACTATTTATGTTCAAATTTCCTGATTTACAATACTTTGTCATGCTTTTGCATTATAAAGGCTATGACAGCTTGTTCACATCAAATTCTTATGGTTTTGGTAAATAACTCAATTTTTTAACAGTTTGATGCTTTTTAAAATTGGAAACCGTTCTTGTTGAAGATGCTTAATTAGAAAATAAGTTTTATACTGATTAATATTCAAATACAAATCAATATCACTACACTAGCAAAAGGATTTGGTCAAAACTACTAGAATATGATAAAATTTGCCTTGTTCCTGGCTCTAAATTCAACAAGAACTAGAACAGCTAGAACAACTGCAACTAGAACAATGAAAAATTTGGTACGAATTTTGGTAAAATTAATAATTTAAAATGGTTTTAAATTAATTAAATAGTAATTTTATCATGATACCTTAGTGCATGGCATGAAAATCATTTATTCGGTTAAACTTGTGTAGCGTATCTACCACTACAAAATTACAACTACAATTCACTAGTATATAAGACATGTTAACTCGACTCTATGTTGGGGTACCTTTTCATAGATGACGGTTGACATGGTCTGTAACTCCGCCCCCCACACTTGCTTTTCAATTTCTTCTTTTTCAATGAAATGTGTGGTGATAAGAACTATAATTTTAAAAACTAGAATTTCCGGTAAATCGTTACCATATGAGTTGGAAAAAAAATCACCAAACTAATGGCTTAAATACCGTATGTATTTTGGCTCTAATTAACCAGAATTATGTTTTTTTTTAATCAGAAATGTCATTACAATAAAGGTAGAAAAGTGGATTGAAGACAAAGAAAATGCTTCAAACATACTCAGAAGCTTCGCTGTAATTCCAATTGTGGCATCACATATATGGCCTCCCTAGTCGCCACAAATTTCCAACGGACACAGGGGAAGTATGGATACGAGATTCAAAATTGGCAAATTATCTAAATATAACATAGCCAAAACAAAGTCAACCCCGCATAATCAATGTTGGGTTTGAAAATACTTTGGCGATCACGAGTCGGGAATTAAAATAAAACCCAAAACTGTGGGAATTAAAATAACTCTGTAACTGAAACATATTTAAAGAAAGAAATTAATAATAGAGAGTTATAAATATACTTTTGTTTTTGATTAGGCGCGGCAGTGAATTAATAAGTCTACATTAGCATTGAAATAGAAAGTTAACCGTTACATTGATCGATAAGAAAAGAAAAAGACATTTTATGTTCGCTTTAAAAGAATAACTCTTTCATTTAATTTAAATATAATTCGATCAATAAAATAAGTTTAATTAATTAAAGATATTTTAAAATGTAGGAAATATGCAATGTCAATTGTGGCGTCACAAGCGTATACACACGTTCCTTCTGATTGATACAATTCTCATGAATTAAATCTGCATTTGTTTCTCTGCTATTATTTTAACAGAATTATGACCTACATTAAGGCCAATTATTTTTTACTAACATTACTTATCGTACCACTAAAATGTTAGATTTGCTCTGCAAGTGCCTGTATTCTAAGTTATAGTTTTTTTTTCTAAGTTCTGAAATTTTTTAAAAAGTATTATGGTATTACAATGTTTTTTCAAACACTATATTTTGTGATTATTGCCTTAGGAATAAGAAAGGAGTATAGGAATAGGAAAAGCCTTTTCACACGCGTCAGAACCAGTTTTGGTTTATATTCATCGCAAATGTGAGGCCTTTATGAGGAAAATATTTACGTCTTTGCTTTATGTTCGGTTAACAGTTAACTTAGCTACATCACAAAATGAAACGTTGACTAGTTGCCCCATGTATGATGTAGATTAATAAACAACAGTAATGCGGGTGACATTTTTATACTGATTACATTTGAATACCCGATGTTGGTATTCAAATTCATGATCATTCATGCTTTGTTCATTAAATATCCGTGCTATAATCTTATTCAGAGTTTTCTATTTTTGTTATACAATGCATAATAATCAGTTATACAGTTTTTTTTATATATATAGTGGTTTGTTAATCTTTGTACATGCTGTCAATAAATGATTCAGGAAGATGATAAATAATTTATTAATAAATGATTCATTAAAAGCAAGCTTTCTGTCAACCACAATGTCATAATAAATAGTTCATCAACACCGAAAAGAGTTCAATTGATTGAATAATTGGGAATGAACACTTTTTTTGATTCCGATAAATATCTATGCATCCACCTTAACAAAGCATTCTGTGCTATGTCGCATTCGTCATTATTATCTTTTCAATACTCTCAGTTCTTTTTTCCTATACATACTATCTTAATTTTTTTATTAATTTGTCTGATGACCTGTTTTTTTAATTAAAAATAATTCATTTCAATTTAATAAATTTATTTCAATTCAATTTTTTTAATTAATCATTATTGGTTCAAAAGTTTCACTTTTTTTTAAAAGAAGCTATTTTTTAAGGTTTTAAGAACTGATTTAAATCCTTAAGAGTTTTCGCTAGAAAATTGAGTTTAACATAGCAACGATCCAAGCAAGCATGGTTTGCAAAGCAAACCATATAAAAATGCATAGCAATCTTCGGGGGTAGGGGGGCGTCAGTGAATAGGGGATGGAGCCCACTAGTGTTCATAAAATGAAAACAATACCACACAAGCAAATTTTGTTGAGTATAAAAACGTAAAATGTGGGAATCGTAAAAGGAGGAATGGCGAGGCAAATCAATTATGATCCTTATATGTTTTTAAATGTTTTATTCTTTGTAATTTTCATAATTTTTAAATTTTCATTATTAGGCAAGAATTAAAAATATTTACTTCGTTGATTATAACGTTTGCTGTTGTACTCAGTGCAAAGTAAAACTGAATAAAATAACATTTTCCACTAAAAGGTTTTCCCATTTTAATATTAAATTACAAATTTAATTAAAGTCACTACTGTTGAAGAAAACTAAACCAACAATTTATTTTTGTTTCATTCATATTCCCTATTTGTAACCATAGAAACCAGCCATAAGCGCATGTTTTTCCAGAAATTACGCTTTATTTGTGGCAAATAACTATTTTATTTTCGCTCTACTAATTAGAAATCGATATTGTGTTTCCCAGAGAAGCGTAATGACTTTCATGTCATAAAAAGTAATATTAAAAGATTGGTTAAAATTATTTTACATTCCGTGATTTTTTTTTTAAAAATTCTTGTGTAATTTTAAGAGAAGGAAATTGAATACCAAGTAGTTTACCTTTTCAAAAGATATAATAATCTATATTGCTTTTAAGAAATTTGTGAAATTAACCAGCGTTTTGCTGTAATTACTTTCTGAATAATTTATAGGGCACGACTATAATCTTGAATATATGATGAGTGGTTAAGTTAATTATATTAAGTGCTTCTGTTTTGGATATGTTTTATTATTTATTCAATGAGAAGTAGTATTATAACTATATTTAATAAATGACAAATATATTTATTAAATTTTAATAATTTTAATTATTTAATAACCTTGACATCGTAATACTACATTTATAAAAAGTAATTAACACCTACACGGTTATTCTTTTTTGTAAGAAACACTTACATTTTGCTTAAATTTCTTCTGGCGTAGTAAAAAATTATGCTTAAATTTTCAAGAAGTATTTAAAAAATTGCATGTAATTTCGCAGAGAAGTTGTAAGAAATTTTGTTTTCAAACATCTCATGGAGTATTTCAAATTTTCTTTTGATGTATTAAAAAAATTATTTAAATTTCTCAGTTTTTTTTTTTTACTTTTTCACGAAGCATTTAAGAAACTTTGCTAAAATCGTGAATCGTGTAAGGTAAAATATTTATGAAATTTTGATTACATTTCTCAGGAAGTGTTTAAGAATTTTTTTATTAAATTTCTCGTGAAGTATTTAAGAAGTTTTGTTTAAATCTTACATGAAGAATTTGCGGAATTTCCTTCAAATTTCTCATGAAGTGTTTAAGAAATAATAATTTAAGTATCTCATGAGGTATTTAAAAGTGCTTGTCTAAGTTCCTCAGGAAGTGTTTAATAAGTACTTTCAACGTTGGAATATTTTTAACGGAAGGGAATAAAATTTTTACGTTGTATTTTGGAAATATTCTTTAAAATTTCTTGTGAAGTACACAAGAAATTTTTTTATTATTCTACCAATTTTAGAAACAGGGCTCAATTAAATACTTATAAATGAATATTTAGACAAAATTGAGTTTAAATTACGTAGAAAAAAATTCTGATGAAATTCCCATACTGCATGGTAATGATATTTCTGGTAACAAAAGAAGCAAACATAATTCTGGTAATAAAACTAAAAAATATGGTACTTAAAAACCATTCACTTGGTAATTTTTCCATTCATATGATAATGGTTTACCAGAAATTCAGGTTCTCAAAATTATAGGTCTTATTACCAAACATTTACCAAAAAATACGAAATTAAGAAGTATATTTAACCGATTGAATAGATTTTATGCCATGCTCTAAAAAATCAGGATCGAATTACCAAATTTTGCCACATTTTCTAAATTTTATCACATGTTATAACATTATATTTTATGGTTAAATTAGCAAAATCAGCACCAACTCGATTTGGCAAAACATTTCCCAGCTTTTTGACGTCCCTATTGAGGCAAACGCACAACATTTTGGTAGTTTTGACCATACTTTCTAGGTAGTTCGTACCAAATGTAAACTATTAAAAATGATATTTCTAATAATAATGTAAAAACTTGGCCAAAACGCCAGTTTCTATTTTAGTTTTATTGAATAATTACTTACAGTATTAATATAAAGCCACATAAAAAATTTCTGACTTTCCTGGTCATTATAATATTTTAACTAAAAGGAATGTCATTTGTATTTCCGTATGATCTCAATGTTCTGAACGTAAAAAAGGAAAAATTTTAAATTTACGTGAATGATTTAAAAACAAGAACTAACGGAAGGTAGTTAATTTTGATTAGGTAATTGAAATATTTATTTCCCTTTCTTTTGATAGTGCAATGCGCAAAAAAGAAAAAAAAGGAACCACCCTGAATAACTTTCGGTCTAATAATCGGATCTTCACGTTCTAGGACACAATTCTAATGGTTCGAGGAAGTAACTTCAAATACGCAAAAAAATAAGTGCAGGCGATATTTTAAGTTAGGAAATCAGACCCCAAAACATTCTTACTCTGAATAAACATAAATTTTTTTCAACAGATTTGGACTTTTGACTCCCCAAATATAGGGGGTCGTCGCTGTCTGGGAAATATGGGTCCCTTATTTTGGTCAGGAGAGCGATCCTAAATTTGGACCTCTTAATCTTAATTTAACTTTTTGCATTGGTCCATATCTCGAGAGTTTTTTAGGCGAATTTCAAAATTTTTGCAAACAGTTATAAAATTTGTTTATCCAAAGATAATTCCGTGCAAAAAAATAATCTTTTGTAAATATTTATTATTTTTTATTATTTTATTAGACAACAGTCGGAAAATTTTTGAATTGTAGGGTACCGTAAACCGGGGCGAGTCTACCCATTTTTTCAGCTTGTCAACTTTCAAGTGGTCAAATTTTCGTAAATATTAAAGAAAAAAACGGAATCGCTATTTATCCCTCTTTAAAGCTGTGAAATCGATTTTAGAAAATATTAACAATTACGCTGTTATTGTATATTTTTATAGAACTGCTGACAAATCTATCGTATGGGGCGAGTCTACTAAAACTACTAAAATGAANTTCAGGTTCTCAAAATTATAGGTCTTATTACCAAACATTTACCAAAAAATACGAAATTAAGAAGTATATTTAACCGATTGAATAGATTTTATGCCATGCTCTAAGAAATCAGGATCGAATTACCAAATTTTGCCACATTTTCTAAATTTTATCACATGTTATAACATTATATTTTATGGTTAAATTAGCAAAATCAGCACCAACTCGATTTGGCAAAACATTTCCCAGCTTTTTGACGTCCCTATAGAGGCAAACGCACAACATTTTGGTAGTTTTGACCATACTTTCTAGGTAGTTCGTACCAAATGTAAACTATTAAAAATGATATTTCTAATAATAATATAAAAACTTGGCCAAAACGCCAGTTTCTATTTTAGTTTTATTGAATAATTACTTACAGTATTAATATAAAGCCAACATAAAAAATTTCTGACTTTCCTGGTCATTATAATATTTTAACTAAAATGAATGTAATTTGTATTTCCGTATGATCTCAATGTTCTGAACGTAAAAAAGGAAAAATTTTAAATTTATGTCAATTTTATTTATTTATTGGAAAAATTTTAAAAACAAGAACTAACGGAAGGTAATTAATTATGATTAGGTAATTGAAATATTTATTTCCTTTTCTTTTGATAGTGCAATGCGCAAAAAAGAAAGAAAAGGAACCACCCTGAATAACTTTCGATCTAATAATCGGATCTTCACGTTCTAGGACACAATAATGGTTCGAGGAAGTAACTTCAAATATGCAAAAAATTATGCAAATATTTTATAAATGATTTTTATAATTGTGTGCAAAAAATTTAGAATTTGCGTAAGTTCTCGAGATATAGCAAAACACACAAAAAGTAAAATTAGCATTAAGGGGCTCAAACATTGGAGCGCTCTCCTGACCAAACTATTTAGACCATATTTTTCAGATTGCGGCAACCCTCTATATTTTGGGGTAAAAAATCAGAATCCGTCGAAAAAAAGGTATGTTTATTCAGAAACAGTACAATTTTGTGCCAGATTTTGTTACTTAAAATATTGTCTGCCTTTACTAATTAAGGTCCCTTCCCCTTCGAGCCATTAAGATTGAGTCCTAGAACGTGAAGATCCAATCTTTAGATCAAAAGTTATTGAGGGTTGTCTGTTTTCTTTTGCGCACAGTACATTTTAAATTTAAAATCACAGATTTATTAAAATTTTAGTTGAATTCATCCGAAATACTCCAGCAAAGGAAACACTAGTTTTTAATGAATTGCACTGTTTTTCATTAGCACTTTGTTAACTGTATAATAATATTGTTTAACAAAGATTGATTTACATTATAGGTCAGTACATTATAGGTGGACCAAAAAACATTTTGAACTACAATATGGGCAGTTTAAACTTTAATGCTGTTTTAATAATTATCAAATTAAACTTTAGTGCAGTGAAATCCAAACAGAAAAAAAATTAGATCAGATGCATACTGCCGTGGTTATTGGTTATACTCGTATTTGACACCTTATTAAGGTTTTTTTAACCATGTAAATATGGTCCAGATATGCACTATATTTTTATGGTTCAATGAATTAAAAGATTTTCAACAATGTACGTCTTACTGTAATTATTACATAGTACGCAAACAAAATATAACCTTTAATAAAATAATTGACATTTTGTGACTCTATAACTAATCTCAGATGCTCAATTTATCATAACTCTTGGAAATAGGATAAATATCATGCACAAAACAAGAATGGTATTGTACAAAGGAAGTTACAAATAAAAAATTGTAAAATAGAAATAGAAATTCCCCTATTGGTCATGTTCAGGTTAAAAAATATTATTATTACTATATTATTAATTATATTTTATTAATTATAAAATATTATTATATTATCAAAATTTAGTATTGGTCATGAGATTAACAGATTAACCCTCTCGGCTATATGTATCCAGTTGTGAGGAATTAAATGGCTTTCATTAGGTGGGCATAGTTGGTGCAATAAAATTCTGACCATTTAACCATATTAGATGAAAGCAGTTATTAAGCGATTTTTCTCTGAATTAACAGTATGAATGTCATCTGATTTATGGTTATTTGACTGTTTTGTTTGAAGATGGTAAAATAACAATTAAATAAATTGTTATTTAACCGTTTTTCCAAGAAATTTCTAACAGTGCAATGCTTTATAAGGTAAGAGGTTTTTGCCCGGTATGCACAAGCTCGGTATTCCTGAAATAAATTGAGATATTATTGTAAGTTTTATTAGCCATTTTGACGTTCTTCTAATTCTTAACAACAATTTCATTTAATGTCGTGTAAAATTATCGAGTTTTTGGAAATAAAATTTCGTGACTTCGAAAAACCATTTTAGTTATTGATAAACTTGATACAAATTGCAAATAAATTGATAAACTTGATAAATATTTAGTAATTTATCCCATTTAAGAAGTTAAATGATGATTATAATGAATCACCGGTAAGTATACACAATTATGAGCTAATTACATTTACGATAACATTTAAAATTTCAGAATTTTGGAATAAGTAAAATTTTGTTGAAGCATACAAAAACATGTACAAAAAAGTATATTAACATTATGCAAAAAAATAAAATTTAAGCTCGCAAGTAAAACAGATTTATTATTAACAGCCATTTAAAATACAAAGGATATGGTAACCACCGTTTACACTTGAAAAGCATGATCTTATATACAGTGTAATAAGGAAGCGGATCAGACGTGAGGAAATGTTCTAGAACATTCCATAAATAATAACTGAAAATTTAAACTACTTGCGTACATATTCAAATGCCTCTGATGTCATGTTAGAAATCGAGAGAACTTGGAGGATCCAATTCAGGACCTCTGACTTAGCAGTTGAGAGCCTTTCCAGCTCAGCCATGGGAGCATATTTCGTGTCAATATTCATAAAACATTAATGCCTAAAGACTTATAAGAAAGGGAAATCTAAAACTGAATAACATTTATATCTACATTTTTTAATTGCAATATTGAAAATATTTTAATGCATTAACTACAGCAGGGATGGGCAAACTACGGCCCGCGGGCTAACTGTGGCCCGCAGGAAGGTTTAATCAGACCCGCGGATAGAATTTTAACTTGCCAATCCGTGGCGAATATAAATATTATACATTCATTTTATTTTCTAATTTGTTTAAAGCTATTTTTGTTCCTTTTTAACAAAGTACCGATGACCTTTTTACTTTTTCTTTTGGTTCTGCAAAACATAAATTGATGGAAATAGGCAGCTTCAATTGGTAAAATGCTGAAAACAGAGAGTTCTTCATAAAATTGCCTTAGATTGGTGCCATCTGAAGCAGTTGTTTCTAAATATGCTTACGTTTGAGTTCTACAAATCGTTACCGAAATCTAGTTTCTCAAATTTAATATTTCATGCCCAGAAAACCAGTGCTATGCTTGCCTCATCTTATATATGCGAACCAGTGTTTTCAACTATGAACCTTAGAAAAAATCCTTTCAGAAGTAGACTAACAGACAAACATTTAATCTCGTTCCTTAAAATAAATACATCTCACTTGGAACCTCAAAGTAAGGAACTTTTAAAAATGAAATCTCAATTTCATTCATCTCATTAAATATTTAAATTAAAACTTGTATATCGTTTTTTTATTTTAGAAGTTTTTAATTAGCCCACCAAACTTTTTTCTTCGATTTTTGGCCCTCGACCAAAAAAGCTTGCCCATCTCTGAACTAGAGTATATCAATCTACCCTCTGGAGAACGTCTTACTTCTCTTAAAAGTAATTTTAAAAGTAAAAAAAAAAAGAATTAAAAAATTGACGAATAAATTTCCAGAGGCGGAAGGGCTTAAAGTCTAGACATAAGAATTATTTTTATGGTATAAATTATTCAAATTTGCCTAAATTTATGCTGCTTTTAACTCAGAATATTGCCTACATTTATTCCCTGTATGATACTTGATTGAAATTCTATTCATGCCATTCACTGGTTTAACAAATTACCATTATGTCAGCACAGCATAGTAAAAACGTGAAAGATTGTTTTGCTTTTATGCTGGGTTTCTGATTATTTTGCTAAGAACATTTATTTTCTGTTACCTTAAATTATTTTTAACATTTGTTCTGATGTAAAACTAACACTTTTTATTCAGGTTTTAACTAATTCATGATGCTATTCCAGGAAAATTTACAATCATGCACAAACCTCGTGGCTCTCTACCTTTATGAGAACAAAATTCAAAAAATAGAAAACATTGAAGATTTAGTGAAACTTAACTGCCTGTATCTGCACAAGAATTATATTGAGCGGATTGAAAACTTAGACACACTAACTCAACTTACTGTACTGTAAGTAAAATATTTTTTTAACTATAAGTGAAATTCCACCATAATCTCACCATATGACATACACAAATGAATTAATATTTAAAGAAAGTATTTTATGAATATGTCTAGGGAAGTTAAAGCCTGTCATCAAGATTGTCCGGATCACCCGGAATGTCTTCATACGCCGCTAGGGCCACTTTCCTATTATGAAATGCTTTATTTATCTGTACTTCTGAATAGGTCATAATAGGGAGGTGTCCTTAGCCGCATACAATTACATTTCTAGGCATGGGTTCGTATGCAAATTTAATCTTGATGATGTGCTCTAAATTCACTAGAAGTTTGCCGCAACATTTACGCGATCCTCTGTTATATATATTACGCGATCTCCTATTATAATCAGGTGGCAAAATGGTCACAAAGAGCAGTATTTTCTATTCCTAATTTTTTCAACTATCTAAGACTGTTAAAAAATCAAACACTTCTAAATGCTATATTTTGAAGAAATTATATTATGTTTTTAATAAACTTTTAATTAAATCAGCCGTAATGGAATTTTATAATTAAATTTTAATTAAATTTTCATTAGAAGTTTCAAAAATTACGTTTTTTTTTTTACAGAAATCTTAGTCATAATAGCATAAGTAAATTGGAAGGTCTGGAAGCCCTTTGTGAACTACGAGAGCTTTATCTTCAATATCAAAACTTGAAAGATGATCAAGACTTTGAATTTGATTCCTCCACAGTCAATTGGCTTTCAGTAAGACCTAATTATTTTTTTCTTTCGTTCATTTCTCTATTTGATAAAATAAACACAGAGTGGAAAAAAGTAAACAATTTTTTTAAAAAACTATGTTTTGCAAGTAGACTGCGGAAAAAATAATTCTATTTTTGTCAGACCTAAAACAAAAAATGCAAGGCAAATCACTTTCGAAAGACGTAAGTGACAAAGTTTCAGTGATTGTAGAAGCTATTAAGAAAGTTTTGCTCCTAATGTTTAGGTCCAATAAAAAAAATTTCGTAATCGGTCTACTTAAAAAAAATTATTAGACCTATAGTGAAAATGTAACGCTTAACTTTCTTAATAACCTATAAGTCAACTTGAGCCACTGTGACCCAGGGAATAGAGCGTTTGCCTACCAAGCAGGAACCCCAATATCGAATCTCAGCGGTGGCCCGTTGATACGAATTCTGCTCACGGCTCGCACCGACCACAGAGCACTATAAAAACTCGTATGGAAATTTTTTAGCTCCATAAAATCTCTTATAAAACCGTGGTGGCTCATGGGAGAGAGTGCTCCCCTCCTAACGAGGAAACCTAATTTCGAATCCCAGCGTTGGCGGGTCGATGGTTCTCCCGGCTAGCACCGGCCACATATATATCCTTGGGATATATATGAGGATCCTATGGGTACGACGTAATATATCTACTAGGTATTGGATCATGAGATAGAATCTCTTCGCATTTGGGCTAACTGTGGGAGGTTTCTGTGATTTTCTTCTCCATGTAACGCAAATGAGTCCATCAAAATTCCTCAACGAAGTCTAGTCTTGTCTGTGAAAGTTTAAGCCCGGAATTCTCCTGTCTTTTGGGATGGGTTCAAAATTACAAGGCTGCGGAGTTGAACACTGATAGTCAAAACCTGAAAAGTGGGTCAGCTGTTCAATTCCGCTTACCAATCTACTTGAAACAGGTCATTTTTCAAGTTAATGTGCTGATGTAATTGAATTTTGTTTTTGTTATTGTGAGTTTGTTGTTTTAAGTTTGCTATCAGTTACACTCACGCGTATGCCGGATTTACGCATGAAGGTGCCATAAAATTTTCGAGAATATTATAGGGTCCCCACTCTAAGCAGTCCAAGTAACACTTCTTTCAAGGAACACAACTTTTAGTTTCAGTCTTAAGCCTTTCATTTGGGAAAAATTATCAAAATCAAATATATATTAATGTCTGAAAATAAGAAGAAAAAATAAATAATGATAAAACACTTGAAGGAATAGTACTTAAGAGCAATCCACTATGAAGGAATAGTCGCCACAATGCTTTTTTCGTCCGATTTTCATTGAAGACCTCTAACAGCGTTTACCCTTTGACGCCGAAATTTTATTAAATCTAATTTTCATACTTTTTTCATTATTTTGCATTAATTTAGGTAAAAAAAAGCGAAAAATATAAGATCCAGCATTTTAATAATTTAGGTTTACGAAATACAGTCTGAAACACCGGAGTCGCTTTCTGCATTAAAAGTAAACTTTTTACTAATTATCTTATTCTTACTAAGAAGACTCACTTCCAAACAATAAGCACTTATTTAGATTTAAGAAAAACAATTCATATCATTGAAATTTCTTTTATTTACTCAATGAATTATTAAATAATTTTTGAATTTGAATGGGAAAATAATCAAATTTTTTTTTTTGGATTCTATATTTTAGTACAAATATAATTCCACACTTAAATGACAATTTTTTTAGTAACTATTAGACTACTATTTTTATATTTAAAAGATACTAAAATATATTTGTCCCATCTGGGTCAAAGGGTAAATTGGAAACTTTTAGTTCATACTGTAAATTTGAAGAGCAGACACTATAATTTATAATTAAATTACATGATTATAGAATTTATAATTAAATGTCTTTATCATATTTTTGCTTCCATGTACTTTGTCTTAATTTCATTCAATTTTGTATGATATTCTATACAAACAGAAAAAGGAAATATTTATAGTGATAATTTATCGAAAAGCGCTTATGTAGTAATATTTAGAAATAAGACTTTTTCAAATTTATTCTTCTGTTTGTAGGTTAAAAAGATTGACGGTACACGTGAAGGATTATATTAACACGTATTATATTAAGCATAGAAATAAATTTTAAAAATTAGGAAAATAGAGAGAAGTTAAAGTATTTAAACAAAATCGTTATTTATTTTTAGTGCCAAAAAGAAAATGTGCATACATGTTCATCGTTAAGACTCGAAATCATGTAAAGGATAATTTTATTCATTCAAATAAAAATAATGAACTAATAACTAATCTAAAATGAACTAATAATGAAAATAATGAATTTGCGCGCAACTAAAGAAATAAATAACTCATTGTTCTTTTACTAATTTTTTCAAATAACCAGCGTTGAATAGCAGACTCAATTCTGAATGTATGACTATCGATGTTCAACACTGTAGACTTACTGTAGACTTATTATGAACCCAATCCAGAAGACAAGAGAACTCCCTGATCAAGCATTGAGGAAAACTAACAAACGTGGAAAATTTTTCTACGAAACTAACTCGCATGTGAAACTATGAAAACATCCCATGGTTAGACCTATGGCAAGGGGGTTCTAATCCATGATCCGTCTACCACTGAGGATATTTTATGTCAGTAGTGTGGTCGGTGCGAACCGGGGCAAAATTCGTATCGACCAACCAACGATGAGATTCGAAATTTAGTTTCCTCGTTGGGAAACGAGCGCTTTCTCCCTTCAGCCACCGAATCGGTGAAAGGGATTTTGTACAGCAGCGGGGAAGTTATTCTAATTTAGTCTGTAGTGTATTGCTTTTCTTTGAATTTTTTAAAAAAAGAGTTGCTTTTTTGCATGCTCTAGTGCTAATGTAAAAACTCTTTATGCACTTGCCTATTATTACTGATAAACATCATTAAATAAGGAATAAAAAATATTTTACTTGATAAAAAAATGGCTTTTTAACTTACGCTGATAACAAACAAAACAATCGATCTTCTTTGTTAATAAAAGAACCCATCGTAGGATTTTAATGACAATAAGAATGCTCAACAACCGTGCGGAATGGTTTTAGATCATTAAGTTTTTGTGATTTTTTATGCTGTACAGACAATTAAAAGTATTTATAAACAATTAAAAGTATTTTGTTAATTGTGAAATAGTTTGCAAGTTTTAATATTTAAAATAATCTCATAATCATTTCAATTGAGCCGGTATAGGCACAATGGTGAAGGCACTGAGCTGCCATCCTGTGAGACTGGGATTCCATCTCCGGGTGTTGCTTGAAGCCAACCCAGAATCAAATCAATGAGTACCAGATTGTCTGGGAAGTAAAAGCTGTTAGTGAAGTTAACCACTTTGCAATTAGTCTCAAAATTGTGAAACCTTCAAGACCCTTCTGAACGGCAACTTGCTGTTGCGAAAGTGCTTTACACGGAGAAGAATGTCCTGGTGAAATTAAATGCACTGTTTAGTAATGACATTTCGGGTAAAAAAAATTTTTTTTTCAATACAACCAAATATACCTTATTTAAACCATTCATTTGGTAACTTTTCCGTTCATGCACACTGTGGGAATTTTTATTCTGAGATTATGGTAAAAAAGAACTGGCAGCATTCTATCCATCCAACGAACTGTAAAGTTTACGTTAGCGAAGTTTTTTTACCTTGGTGGTTTTGAAACCATTTACAACTAACATGGTTTTAAAAGGATTGAGAAGAAATTTAGCTGGCCTTATGGTGATACCATCTATGTGTGAATGAAAGTTTCTTTTTCTAATAGTCCAGGGTCACAAGTTGAGGGTGACAGGACACCGAGAACTCTTCATGCGTTGAAGAGAATGAAAAATATATTGTGGTACGACAACTCGAACTTCGTTCAACCGGTTATGAGATTGACAGAATAGCCCTCTCGGCTATGATATGTACGAATCTGCAAGGATCTAAGGGGCTTCATTAGGCAGGCCAATTTAGTGAGATAAAATTCTGTTCTTTAGCCGTATTAGGTGAAAGCATTTAAACGGTTTTCCTCGCAGTTAACAGCTTGAATGCCATTTTATTTACAGTTATTTGGCTGTTTTGCTTGATTATGATTAAATAAGAATTAATTAAATTGTTATTTAACCATTTTTTTCGAGAAATTTTGAACTGGTTCATTGATTTCCTTTCTTTGATTCACGTGGAAAAATCTAATTAAAAAGCCTTGTATAAAATGCGCTGAAAAAAAATTTCGTCATAGTAACAGATATTATAGAATAAAGCGCACGATCAAGAAATGCTTGCTAAAGTCGTGATTCTTTTTCACCACTATAAAATAATTTTAAAAATCTAATTTATAAAATATTTAAAGAGGAAAGCAGCTTAAAGTTGGTTTTTTTTCTTTTTTGGCGGACAAAACCAAATGACTGAGCAATTTTGAAAGTGAATGTGTAGTTTTCCGGTTTTAAAGAAAATTTATTCCTTTAAGATGCATTTTCTTAAAACCTAAAATAATTTTTATTATAGATTTATAGATTATGATACAATGTGCTTCTAAAACATTCTTATAAATAAATTCAGATAATTGTTTTTACAAATTAGGAGTCTTTAAGGATACTGAATATTTCTGGAAACAAAATAAAGAGCTTTAAACCCCTCCAACCTCTTCAGTATTTAGAGATATTCATAGCTGAAGAGAATGATGTCTCTGATCTTCAGGAGTTGGTGGATGCTTTTAGTGAATGGAATTATGTGCACACCATGAAGTTAACAGGAAATCCTGTATGCAGTGTCCGCAAGTATCGTGATAATATTGTCGTTACATGTCTGGAACTAGGTAAGATGCAAAATATCTTTTTACATGTTAATTAATATAGAATAGGTTAGCAAGAAAGATTAAGATTTTAATACACTGTGCCTCAACACAGTAAAGAAAAGGTTTATCATAATAGAGAAAAAAATCTGTAAAAATAGCTCCGAAACAAGTGTAGTAAAATTGGACAACTTTACTGAGTATTTTATATTTATATATATATATATAAGTAA